AAATTTTACAAGTTTATATGTCTGATGTCAATTAGGTGTGAATGAGAGTATCAAAATTTCTAATTATGAGTGAATTGGTGAGACCGTGAGAAAGGTTTAGTATGGAGAAAGTTGAAGACATTCTTTGGAAAATGTTGAATTGAAGCAAGTGATGAAAGTAAATACTCTATGAGCATTGGTGTTTTTCATTGGTTTGGTAAGTATGAGGTTTTGAAATTCGCATTTATGAATGAGTTACTTGAGGATAAGCAATAATGTAAGTTTGGGGTTGTGATATTAACACGTAATTTTTACAGCATTTTGTCAGTTATTTTATTACGTTTAATCTCATTTTGGTTAAGTTTGAGTAGGATTTAATATGTTTTTGAATAAATAAAAGAAAATGAAAAAAAATGAAATAATGGTGTGAACAAAGAGCAAATTTGAGGCAATTCAGCACTCAATTATTGTTCCCCATCGTTGCACGATGCACATCTCATTGTGACACGATGTACATCTCATTGTGACACAATTCCACGTGGGATCAGATACATTTTTCATCTTTACAAATGGATTTTTTCACACCTTTGGAGTATCTTCTTTTGGAGACCTAATTCTGTCATCGGGGAAATATTACAGAGCTCTAGAGCGAAGGTTTTCACCATCGGAAGCCAAGTTCTAACCACAAATTCATATATATTTATCTTATCTCTATTGTTATGGATTATCTAGTTATGATTAACTTATTTTCTTAGGTTAGATTTTGTTGAGATGAACCTGTTGGATCCGTTGGGACCATATGTTAGGTATTTGTACTATTTACTCTTTTGATTAGTTCAGTTTTGTATTTAGTTAATATTTGTATTTAATGCTTTATATATGTTTACGAATGTTCATATATCAATTCAGATTCATGTTGATTACTAATCCTAATTGTATGAATCAGATCTAAATTAACTACTCAACTTAATCATTGAGTTAGAGATATGAAATTGTAAGATTATGATTTAGAGTTTAACGTACAAAAATTGCCTATTTTAACGATCGAATTGGCCTAAGAGATTAGTGAATTATAGCTTAGAATAATGAGTTATACACGAAGAGATAGGATATGACGACTTAGTTAAACTGTCATAGTAATTGAATTAATTATCATAAGGGTAGATAAATGCTAACATCAATAGTAACATACATGGGTTTCAAGATGGAACCTAATCACCTTTCACATTGTTGTGAATCGGATACCTTTAAACAAAGTATAAACGGTTTCTTAGCAAGAAACACACAAGGGTTAGGGTTAATAAAGAAGAAAACAACAAGGATTGGTTATTAAACTGATATTCTTTCCTTTCTCTTAGAACAAGATTACAAGTATACAAGAATAACAAAATAACCTCTCTCTCTTGAAATTAGGATTTTATCTTCCTATTTTCCCTTATATCAAGATTGAGAAACTAACATCCTATTTATAATAAAATAGCACACTAACCTAATGGGCTTTTTAACAATTACCCATTACAAGCTAACTTAGAGTACAAGCTAACTTAAACAATTGGGTTTACAAGCAAGGCCCAATTCAACATGCTAACAACCCTAGCAATATTTACTAATGCATGTTAGAACAAACTTCGACTACAACACGTATTACTCACGAACAAACTTCGACCATACTAGAGTTCGATCCAACATCTCACACACGTTCTGATAGCCTTTCTATTTACTTTTTGCATTCAAACTCGAAAACCCCATTCTTACTTTTAATTCACATAAATGTACGCTTTGTTAAATTGCAATCCTCGTGGAGAGGATCTTTTTAATTATCACTTCGACGCTATTGGCACACTTGCCGATCAGTCATCAATGAAGAAGAAAAATATAATGAAAATGAAAGGATTTTAAAAAAATACATATAAGAGCACTTAACACTTTCAGATTTATCAAAAATTAAGAAAAACAAATAATAGTTAACAAATCAATATACCTTAGAGAGTTTGTTCAATGGGACGAAATATCTTCAACTTGTAAAAAAAAACCCACAACTCATTCAGGTGAGAAAAAATTGAAAGGATCTCAAGACGTTGAACACAAAATCTGAAAATAAATCATCAATAATTTACTAAGAAGAATTAAAGAGGTGTTTTTTTTAATATGGACCTAAAAACATACATGAAAGAAGAAGAAATTTAACAAAAAAATCAACAAAATTATAGCCACTAAGATGAACCTGGACCTAATAACCTTATGTTCCTTCCTATTTTCATTTTTTTTAAAGTTTTGATCTCCCATTTTAAAATTTGGTTTTTTTGTCTCTTCATTAATTTTTTTTTCTTTCTGAATTTTAGTCCCCTTCAAATGTGAGCCCGACTTTGAATGATATAATTGGGGTGTCAACGGGGCAGGAAATGTGCGGAGGATGCTTTCCCGTTCTCCGCCCTGTCCCCCAATTTTTTTTCCCATCCTCGCCACGGTGGAATATTTTTCTCTATCCCCATCCTCGCCATGGGGGAATATTTTTTCCTATCCCCATCCTTATGGATCTCCACGGTATCCACAGAGATCACAATGATGATTGTTGTTGCGTTGATAAAAAATTGAGAATAAACGAAAGAGAGTGATTGTTGTGATGATGATGAGAAGAGAGGAGAGGAGGAATGGAGAAGACAAATAGTTGAGGAAAAAAGTCTCTTCTAAGAAGAAGAAGAGACGTTTAACATTGGAATTTGTATATGCATCGTTCACTTTTCTAGAATTAGTAAATAAAATCTCCACAAACGACTAATGAGTAATGACTCTTTATTTCCCAATAATATAATAACTTTTTTTATAAAAAATGTAGAGTTACATAATTATTATATTTTATATGATATTATAAATATAAAAAGATAATTAATAATATGGTCGGATTCGAGGAATTCGCGGGGCGGAGGGTACTTATCCGATCCCTGCCCCGAAGTTTCATCGAAGAATTTTTACCTCCATCCCCGTCTTCGCGGGAGAAAGAGAACTCCAATTTCGAAGCTCCAAACAGATAATCTCCACGGGATCCTCTTAACATACCCAAATTGATGTATAATATTGGTATGGATGATGTGTCATTGTCACATGTACTAAAAAAATTTCCAAGTCATATTTTTAGTTTATAATTGTGTTAATGATATTACAAAACTAAATTTGATTAGTAATAATAACTTATTAATATTAAAAATAACATAAATTAATTAATAATATCAATTTACAAAGTTGTATATTCTTCTCCAATGACACCTCATTACTACCAGCGTCATGTCATTAAAATTTAAACTTAGATTTATAGAGGGCTAAAATAAAATAAAAAACTAAATACAGGGGTAAAAAAACCAAATTTTAAATGAGATATTAAAGTTAAAAAAATAAAAATAGAAAAACCAAAATTATAATTAAACTTCACTTCTATTCACTTTCAATCTATTTATATAAAATCAAACTCAAATTATTTTCTTCACTTTAATTTGGACTAGTTCCCTAGATGTGAACATATCTAATATAGAATTATTTTTTATTGATATAGATTCAAGCATTTTTTTTATACAAGTGAGAATCTAAGCCCAATAAAAAAATTAAGAAAAGATAGTACAGAGAAACAAAATCTCAATAACATCACTATTAATCAACATAGCCATTTCATCCAAGCAAATATAATTGACAATAAAATAAGTTTGTAAACAAATTTAGCCATAGAGATCCAAACACTTTGAATACATGCCTTTATATAATTATGCAGATGAAAACAAAAATGAGATTTCAATTACTTCCATCTTTATAAAAAAAAAATCCGATCCATTTATTGTTTGACAATAAATTATATCTCTAAAATCATATATATATTAATTATTGTAATTAACAAATAGAGTATGATGAAAACTTATTATTGTGAATTTTATTTTAGAACTAAGACTATTTCCTATTTTCTTTCATTTGAAATCTTATATTATTATCAATACGATGACTTAACTGTGGTCTATCAGATGACCTAATAAATATATTGAATAATGAAATTACAAGTTTAAAATTTTAATTTTTAGGTTTGGATTTTTTATATGTGTACAATACTAAATGTAACTTTTAATAGAGATTTAAATTTTATTTCCAAAGTCTACTCCTTGACATGATTCCCATTGGTTTAAAATTTTAGTATTTAATGATGTGAAAAAAGAGGAAAAAAAATAGTCAAGTAATACATATAGGAAAATAAGTATTATGTATTATATTAATAAAAAGAGATAAGGCTAACTTGTGTCCTTGAGACACATATTAAAAAAATCTACAAATAAAAAATAAGTATTAGAAAAAACAAAAAAACCATAAATTTTAAATTTATATTAAATTTAAAACACAATTTCTAATTAATTTTTATTATATTTATCACTTAACTTGTACTATTGGGGCACAAGTTAGCATTATCTATACAAAAATATTGTGTATTTCAACAACATAAAAAAAATTGCATAATTTTTTAGAATAAATTAAAATTTAAAACTATTAGAAACTATTGGAAAAATTTTGTGAAAATAGTTATCATCAATGTTTATGGGGGAGACATTACTTGAGATGAAACTTGATAATTTTTCTTTGAGGATGAAATAGGCTAAAGTTTCCAGTGAATATTGAATATGAAAAATGTTTTTTTTTTCATTTATATTTGTGTAAAGTAATTATGTGTTAATTTTTTGATAATTAGTTTTTAGTTAGAGATCAAACTAATTATTTTTAGTGTAGTCTCTCGTAACTATATATTTTTTTTCCATCCACAAGATTCAACTTGTGAAAATATTTGAAATAATTAAAATATGAGAAAATAAATATTTCCATTTTAAACCTATAGAGAGATTATGTGTAGTACCAAAGAAAACATATATAATTTGTTGTCTTAACTTCTACGATACATTTGTTAGAAAGACAAATAATAGTATTTATTGTAATTTAATTAATTTAATTTTAATGAGTATTGAGATAAATTTTTATAAAAATACATAAAAAAGATATTAACAAAAAAACATAGTATTCACGACTCGTTCATGAAGACGTGGTAACTCAGGTACTTGTGATAAATCGGTTAAGGTGAATTTCTTGTGGTTGTAAAGAGTTTCTGACTCATCAAATTTTATAAACTGCGATATTTGAGCCGCTGTTACATGAGCATAATAAATTGGTGCAACTGCAATCATTCGTAAATATTTTAGAAAAACATGTTAATATATAATATATAAATAAAAAATCCAATATTTATTAGATAATATTTTTGAAAACATAAATTCTAAGATAAAACAGTTTCATAATAAAAATAATAAGTGGAAATTCATAGAAATTGTACCTATAGATATGGCATTTGTGCTTCTCTGATACCTATAGAAATTAAAATAATTGTTTTGTTTTAGAATTCAACAAATTTCCAAATTGTAATAAGATTATTTATGAAGTGAGTCTTAAGTTTTTTATTTATAAAATCAAGTTGACTACTTACACATAACATAAAGAATGCACAAGTTCTTGCAAATTATCAGATGAAAATCCAATTTCATCATATAAAACATGATAGTGAGTAGGACGACTTGTACCCTATTTAAAAAATAATAATAGATTCAAATCATTATCCTTTCTTAAATCTTTATACTATTTCATAAAAAATATTTATATAACTCTACAAAAGTAAATAATTGACTAAGTATAAAATCACAAATAATTGACCAAATGTTATCAAAGATTACAAATGATCAATAATAAGAATTTTAAATAGATATACAAAGCATGTAATGTGGATAGTAATTTCCTTTTTCTTGTAGATAATATATACATAATAAATTACTAATGTAGACAATTTTGTAGTTTTTATATTAAGTAATAAATTATAATTATTTGACTTATTTTAGTAAATATATTTTGTTGCAATAGTTGTGAAATCCAATTTTGAATAATATTTACAATATTTTTAAAACATTATTTTATATATATATATATATATATATATATATATATATATATATATATATATATATATATATATATATATATATATATATATATATATATATATATATATATATATATATATATATATATATATATATATATATATATATATATATATATATATATATATATATATATATATATATATATATATATATATATATATATATATATATATATATATATCCATGAATAAACTAAGTCAAATATAAATTTTAAAGTCTTAGTATTGAGTTAATATATAGTTATGAAAAAACTTTACTTGAGAAGAATCATTTAAAATTTAAAATTCTATTTTGACAATTATACTTACAATGTTTCCGGCATGTGCACACATGTAGAAATCATTATTTTTGGGATGACATACAGTGTTATCAATAACAGTTCCTACACACAAATGAACATGTGATTTTAATTATATTACAATTACTTTTTTTATTTAATTATTTCAGTTTTAATAACAAACCAGGTAAAACATTCTCTTGAGGAGCATTGACTTTGAAGAACCTAGTGTGATGATTCTTTTGGGCAACAATCAAAGTAAATTTTGGACACCAATTTTCATCAAAATGTTTGCATGCCTACACATGTAATTTACATAAAATTCAACTATTTTATTCACATAATTTTAATAAAATTCAACTATTTTATTCACATAATTTTAATAGCAATATTTAAAATTACGTTGTGAAGTACTCCCTCTGTTTCAAAATGACTGTCGTTTTAGAGGAAAATTTTTGTTTCAAAATGAATATCGTTCTCAATTTTCAATATAGTAATAATTGTTATTTTTTCAATTGTGTCATATAATTATTACTCTGTACACTATTTTCAATACATCAATAAGACTAATTTAGTAAAAATGTAATACCTTATGACAATATCATTGTATTTTTTAATCTGTGTGTAAAAACTTTAAACGACAGTCATTTTAAAATAAAAAAAGTATATACCTTTATGATCTCGTCCAATTCAAAGTTAATGACCTGGCTGAATTGTGTTTCACTCACTCCGTCCCTAAAATAAAACATATGACACCGATAGTTAAGATACTACTTGTCAAATCATGCATTCTTTAGAAAAAGTACAATATATACATCTAAATTAATTGTACGAAAACCTGAAAATTATAATTTGTTGAGGCCTTGTTCCTGAAGTTGCGTAAAAGTCCTTAAGCAACTCGCTAGAGAGTGAAACAATGAGATAAATCAATAAAATATTGACAAAAATATAAAATTTTGTTTAATTCCTGATAATTTATAAGAAATGTGTAACACCTTATAAATTTTAGTTTGTTGTGATAATCACACTCATTAGAAAATACAAACCTAATGATACCGTCATCCTTAGTATCTGAAACAGGCTTGAAGAGAGATTGAATTATCTCTACTTTTGATGGTTGAGTACGAACTGCAGCTTTATAACGAGATATTTGAGGCCAATATCTTGAGCTAACTACCTGAATATTAAATCATATGTAAGTGCAAAAATTTATTGAAAAATATAAGCTCAATGTTGTTCTCTTATAGTTTATATCACAATTAATAGTAAAATGAAAATGAAAAGTGATACCATACCGCAACAATTGACGGTACATCTAATTGATATGGAGACCCATGTGAAACATCCATTCCAATAACCATTGTAGGTATGTTAGAAAATACTGGTATAGAACGCTCAATTTCGGTTAACAAACGAAAATTCATCCCACCAAGCTGCAAGAAAGAAATGAATTATAAATAAATTATATCCATACAAGAAAAATGATATTCAATATCGATTTAGAATAGACAATATTATATATATACCTTTACATTAATTTTCAGCAGTACATTAGTAACATAATTATCATTAATTTTTGTTGGAGCAATACATTGAGTTGCAATTCCTTCATTAACAAGACATCTTCGTTTCCAAGGACCTATATATTATATTTTTTATTAGTATTTATTAACAAGTAATATTAGTACTTAATAAATTGAATAATGAAAAAGTAATAAAAAATGAACTAGGTAATAAAAATTCGATGACCCATACCATAAATTTCACAAATCTTTTTAACTGGAAGAATACACAAAAGAAGTTGAGCAGGAGGGTGTAAAGGGGGTCCAGGCAACTTGGCTTTTATTATTTCATACATTGCAGAAACTCTAAAAGACGGTGACTCATTCCTATGACGTTCATCCTCTTCAAATATATGGAACGGGGAATCTAAGAGCTACAAAAATGACCAAAACTTAAATCACATGTGTAATAAACATCAGATAAAAGTATTTACCATGTAGTTTTTTTAAGAACCTTACCATGCCTTTTATTTTAGAGCATTTTTCCACCATACTACATAAATATTTTATATCACAGTGCGATGAAAAGTTTACAATTGCCCAACGCTTAATCTTCACAGGTTCAATTAGTTTCTAATGTATAATGCTTACTATTAGAAAAATAATAATATATAAGATTCATGTGAAATGATATCAATTAAAATATTGTAACCTTATCATCAAAATTCCAGCTTCCATTTCGAGGAGAAACTATTTGTCCTCTTTCAACAATAATCTTTAAAAAAAAACAATGTCTTAAAAGTCATAAGTTAAAACAAAATAGAAAAGAAAAATAACATAACAACACATACTGTCGGAGCTTGTAAAACACGGCCATTAACTTGGTTAAAACAAGGTTTAATAGAAATCCCAATAGAGCGAAGCATAGACTCGTCATCATATCTACGACTTTTTAAAATCTGCAAGAATATTAATAATCATTTAAAGATACATATAACATTCATTTAAAAGTAAAATAGATTGGTATATTAATTTTTTAAGTTCACTAACACGTAACACAACTTCTTTCCTTTCCTGAGGACTATTTCTCGACTCCAACATCAATTGAGCCCTTTGCTTGTTGGACAATACCTTAGTGTATTGTTGTAATGGGATCAATGTACATAACTGCAAAAATAATAACTCATTATTATGCCTTATAATAAGATAACATTATTTAAACAATTCAAATTTTATTTATCACCTCCATAGGAAAATAAATCGGTTTATTTGATTTGCCAACATTAATGCATGGCATATCAATAGAATGTTGAAGTTCAATATTTTTGTGGTGTTTGTAGTATTCATAGATTGTTATTTCACTTAACTGCACTTCACCATTAGCATCATTTCCATTTTTAAATAAAAACCTATAAGACATAAATAAGGATTATAATTGGTATTAAAATATTTAATTAGCATGAAAAATGGAGGAAATAAAAAAATTCATCTAATATTACTTTTTGTTGATATTACATTTAAGTGTAGAAAACATTCAAAAACTTACATTTGGTTTCTGCATGACATCTCACTTAATCCAGTAATTTTGTACACTCTATTGTTAGCCTTGATTCTAATATTTTTTAGAATTCTTTTTGCCTAAATTTAATAATGAATCAAACAATCATAATTCATAAATACAAAATCACCAATACTTATAGAGTAACTAACAATATACCTTGGTCCAATCAATCAACTTTGGTTGATGAATATTTTGGTTATGGAGAAGGAAATCCACTACAGGACCAGGCTTTACAAGTAATGTAGTTGACAAATCTTTAACAAAAAATAAAATGTAATTAATAATAACAAAAGAAAACATAAAATTTTAAGCATTTTCACTTAAGAACTTACCAACATTAAGACACAAACCCTTTTGTGTAGGCATGAAACTTGAATGGAAACCACGACAACATTGAATACCACCACCAAGGTTAGTTATATTTTTTGGATTGTCATGAAAGTATGATTGACGAATACGAAGGCACTCCCTGGAAAAAAAAATAGATTAGATAAACAAAGTTTCAAGCAATGAATTAAACAACCATCATAAATGTATTCTTGACTATTTATAATCATCTATACTTTTTCAAATTCAGAGATAGAATGAAAAAAAAAATTGTCTAAGTTTTTATTTATTTAAACATACTCTTTTGTTGCATTTTGTCTCAATATCACATCTAGAATATTTAATACTTTTTGACAATGGCCCGATTCATGACCTCGTGATGCATTTTCAATTTCTTGTAATGAGATTTTTCCTACACGACTAATCTCAACCTTAAAAGTTTTGGAATGAGAATGACACCTCATTCTTTTGGTTGCATCGTCAAGGTTATTTCCAACTCTAAAAAATAATTATGTCATTCGATTTGATTAGCTTGTGTCTTAAGTAAAAAAAGTTTAAACACACAAATTTTATATGAAAAGAATTATATTTACCTTATTGATGAAAATTCATCTAACACAACAATGAATTCCTGTTTAATATGATGTAAAGAATCAAGAGTGAATAAGTTTTTCTCACCATCATATGCAAAATTCTTATTTCTTAATACATCATATGTTATGCAAAGTTTGTCTATCACTTTTCTCCCCACACCTTTCGATTCAACCGGGTGTCCATCTTGATAATATAAAACAATCTAACCAAAAATATTTGATTAGTTATTATATTATAAACTATGAATATGTATTCTTTTTAAATTCAAATGCAAAACAAGATATATTTTGAATATGAAAAGAACTTACATTATAGTGATAGAAGTGGCCATCCTTTTTTGTCAAATCAACTCTAAAATGATTAGTTAAGAGTTGTATATTGCTTCCTTTGGATCCAAGATCTCTCCGGGCCATAGGTAGACGTTTCAAATTTGTAGTTTGAGTAGTTGACTTAATTGTAAAAGAAGATTCCATTTCTTAAATTATGCTATAAAAATAAGATGAAAGCATTAATATATTTTTCATTAAAAAATAAATAAACATTAACATACTAAAAAAAGCATACACTGTTTTACCAACTTCGTCATATTTTAAAATGAGTGTTATCTACATGAACAATTAAAAAAAAATCTAATATGTATAACATTTTCCTAAATAATATAATAAATTTAAAAATTGAGAAATCCACTATAAAATGGATAAAAAAGTATAAATAAATATTTCAATTCAAATGAAGTATTTTTTTTAATCAAAAGAAAATATACGATCCTCTAAATTTCAAATAAAATATTAAACCGACAATCGAAAGGTAACATCAAAATATCCATATTAGCCATGGATGGTATTTTAAAACATATATTTTAAATAAACATTATAAAACAAATATGTTAATGATTAAAATATGTTAATGATTAAATGCAAAATTAACATTAATATATATATATATATATATATATATATATATATATATATATATATATATATATATATATATATATATATATATATATATATATATATATATATATATATATATATATATATATATATATATATATAAAGAACATAAATTAAAATAAATAACGTGCATCATGATTAGTAAAAACAAAAATGAGTTAATTAAATATTTGATCTCTCTATTTAAACTCATTCATAAAATTAATCTCTCTTTTTTAAGTTTAAATTATTTTGATACTTTTCACACTTTTTATTAAAAATCAAAGACATGTTTATTTTTTAAATGACATATAATTATATGTTATTTTTCCATAAAAAAGTATGAAGGGGTAAATATGAATGAATTCAATTCTTTTTGGATTAAAGTAACATAAATATATGAATAAACAATTAAAAACAAATTTGAAACCCTTGTATCAAATAAAATAATACTTCAATTGACAATATATATAAAATAAACACTAGCTATGTGTTTATGAAAAGGATGTGCAACGATTTTATAAATTAAAAAATCAAAAACTAAATGAAACTCTATTGTTTAATAGTGATTTTTTATTTCTCATTATACTTTAAAGTATTAATTAAAAATGTAAAAATAACAATAAATATAGTTGATAATTTAAAAGAAATTTATATTTGAGAATAATATTCTTTTAAGTAGAGGTTTTATTTAAAAATAATTATAAAAAAAAACAAACAAAGTAAATGGAGGGTCGTTTTTCTCTAACTTTAGGAGAAAGAACAAACTATAAAAGTTTTTATAAAAAATAATTATCCAAAAAATAAAAGTAATATATCCTATCTAGTAAGTTTAACTAGGTAGTTGAAGAACAAATAGAAAAAACAAGAGAATAAAAATCATACAACAAAAAAGAAAAAAAGAATACCTAGCATAAGAAAATCAAAGAAAAGAAAAAGTTAATATAGTTTATGTAACACTAAAATCATTAATCAATAATTTATATAGGGGAAAAATCAAAATTTTGTTGAAGAAGGAAAGTAACATTGGTCATACTCACACACAAATGATTTTTATAAAACAAAATGAAACAAACATGAGAAATTGTTAGTTATTATAAAAATAAAATGAAACAAGCATGAGAGATATTGTTTCCTCATGAGATTGATAGTTATTTACTAAACATATCATAAAAAAATGCATGTTTCAAGAAGATTTTCAAACGAAAAATTATGAATTAAGTACAATCACTTGATTATTATTCATTGCTTTTATCTTATCAAATAAATTAAGAACTTGTTTTTGACACACAATTAATTAAGAATTTAATTTCATTCTTTTTCAAAAAAAAGGAAAAAAGTAATTTCTGTGTTTTCTCGTGCCATTTCTTATATCCTATCCAACACTTATTTATGAATATTGTCCTTGTTCAATATTTTTTCTAAAAATTTAATAAATTTATAAAAATTAAAAACATATTTAGCTGTTTGTGTTTTATTTAGAAACACCAACTTTAATAAAGATAATATTATTAGCAATGACACAAGAAAAATTATAGACATAGATAAAGTAAAAGCAAATATGACACTATTATTATCTCTATAAAAAATCATGGAAAGCAAGTGTAAGAATATTAACTCATATTTTTGGTTGATATATTATTAAAAATAATTTTTAATAGAAGTAGTTTGAAGAAAAAAATGAGATGAAATAATAGCAAAAACCTAGTAGTTAAAGGAAGTGTTAATAGTACAACCCGTATTAGGTCTAAGTTTATAGGTACATCCATTTGTTAGTTATTTATACATTAGTTAGGCCTAATACAAATTTGTTTGACGGGTTTCTAGAGTTTTATTGTTTATGGAGAATTTTTTAACACATCCTATAAGTTTCTACTGCACTACACAAATTTTCACAGATGATCATGATCTTACTGCTTGATCAGAACCTGAAGTGGAGCAAATACAAGCGTCTGTGATGCTGAGTATGAAAGAGGAGGAGGGGGTGTACCTGCAAGATACTCTGATGTTAAACTAAAAAAACAAGCAAGAGAGAGAGAGCAAGTACAAAATATGTGTGTTTCAAAGTGAATATTGGATACCTAACCCTCTCAAGTGAGAGGACTTATATAATGCCCCTAACGCTTGACCATTGGTCCCTATTTTCGGGGCAAGATAACCGTTTTCCGAAGAATAGGTAACTGCTAGAACTAGCCGTTGGGACGGGCACATGCCCATAACTAGCCGTTGGCACGGGCAGAAGCGTAGTTACGAGCACAAGCGTTTTGACTGTTTCTGGATGGTGGAACCGTGCGTGACGGGCAGAGACTGACGGGGAGAAGTTTTGTGACCAAGGGTAAATTGGCCAGCCTCCCCGTTGGAGGGAAAAAAAGGTAAATTCTCCCCCCCCCCCCCCCCCCAAAGTGGTTGGACTTAGGCAATTGGGTCGTTCTGGGAGCAGAAGTGGATTGGGCCATACCTAGCCATTGGGCCAGTCCGAAACAGTAGCCCCCCAAGTCGTTGCTACAGAGCACTGTAGTGATGACTTTAGGATAATCTGCTTTCTGGGTATGATCGTCATAAGCTTCCTTGTGTCCGGAGAAACACTTGCCTGAATGTCTGAAGCATTATTGTCAGGGAGCTTGAGATCCAGGAAGCCCAACAATTAATGAGATCTGAAGATTGGAGATGCCATGTGTGCCTCGAGCCGCGTGCTGCATTAAATGCGTGATAATGGCTAGGTTAGGGTCATGATGATGCCTTACCCGCACGTGCTCGTGCACGTGCCTGTCATTTGCCTATAAATAGTGAGAGGTCTCGTTCATTCAGAACTTTTGCTTCTCTCTCATTTTGCTCATTGTTCCCCGTTCTCCGCCGTTCGCTGTCTTCAAGTTTTGCTCCAGCCACTGTACGACGTCCGACCAGAGCTACTCAAGTCCAAAACTTCTTCCTCGACCAAGTAAGTATGTCGATTCCTTGCTTACTCTTTATTTTTCTTGTTTGATGTTGTAGAATGCATGTGGTTGTTGCTACGCGAAAAATGACACAGAGTCGCCACCAGATTTTATTTATCCCAAGGAGGGAAAAGGAAATAACGATAAAACCTTTAGGGAAAGATCATGGTCATTGCAACCAAGTTTTAGAGTTCGGGAGTCGGTTATGTGAGGGAAAGGTATTAGCACCCCCTCACATCCATCATACTCGATGGGAACCTTCTAAGTTGTTTAGCTTGAATGGGTGTTTTAATCTAAAAATTTGTTTGCTTAAAAGAAAAGAGCGGTTGGTTTTTTATTAGAGCGATCGCCAAGGATTGTGGCCCTTGTGCCTACGTATTCTCACTTAAAAGAAGTGAAGAATCAGAGCTTCGTAGTTCGGAGGCTTGTGAAATAATTGTATGTTGATTGATTTTATACCTTGAAAAAAGATTTTTGGATTAATGCCCTAAGGTGAAAAGAAGTTTGATGAGTTGATGTTATTTTTAGGTTTTTAAGAAGAAATTGTTTTTGATTAGGATCACACTAAAGACTTTGGATAGAGATGAATGTTTCGAATAATCAAGTCAAGCGCCTTGTATTCAAAACATTTAGAACGAGTGTAGGAGGGGTTCAATTCTCATTCCTTCTCCACCACTTTAAAGCTCATGGCGTATAACCCCAATTATATCTTTATTGTTTCTTTTTTTGGATTTTTTTTATGAGAAAAATACCACTTAATGTTGGATCAAGATTTTTATTGCTTGTAAAAATATTTGAAGTGATGCGAACATGGTCGATGACGACGCACAAGGCGATCGGCTTGCAAGGGTGAAAATGACTCGATAAAATCGAGAGTTTATTTTTGGAAATAATTTTTTGAACCAAAAGTCATAAATGACCATAATAATATCCACATACAAAGGCCGTACAACCACATCGGGTTAATTGGTTTGAAAATACGAATGAAACAAAGACATGAAAAAAAAAACTACAAAACAACATGAAATGAGAAGTCCCCTTTCATGTGTGAATGGAATATGTCAAAAAATGGGAGAAATAGCAAAAAAAAAGTGAAGAAACAGGGGGCTGACACGGCCACCCGTGTCAGGAAGTTGCCACAACATCGATTTTGGAGGTAAACAGGGAGCTAACACGGCCCGTGTCAGCACCCCTGGGAGATGTGCGCGATGGAAGTTAAAACAGCAGGCTGACATGGCCGCTCGTGTCAGCTGACACAGCCCGTGTCAGCCCTGCTGGATGAAAAAACTAAACTATGTCCTTTTCCTTTCCTTTCTTGTGGTTCTTACAAAAGTTCTTGGTCCCTTTTGGTACCTTACACAATGTATACAACACAAAAACCACTTAAAAGAGAAAATAAAAGACAATGCAAAATATGTAAAGAGAGAAAAGTTTGAAAGAAAAGATACCCAAGAGCTTATATTCTCCTTCTAATCACCAATGACTTGTGTTGGATGGGCTCTATAATTCACCTCCTTTTTCTGGTTCTCTATCACCTTCTTGTTCTCTCAATGGTTTTTCTTTCTTCTTTCTCAAACTCTTTTTTTGATGATGTTCTCAATGTTT